TCTTATGCACGCGCTCTGGTAAGAGGTCAATTTGACCTCCGAGGATATTCACATAATGCTTTTCGAGCGGTGGAGCATAGCCGTGCCCGTTTTTGTAAAGCTGTAGGCGATCGCAAAGCGAATCTTTTGGTCAAAAAATTGGATGCACCTTGTAAACTCACCAACTTATGACAGGTCAAGGTCAGATCGTGGCTGTCAGCGAAGGCAATTTCTAGGGAACCGTTCAATCTGATGTGACATTAGAGTTCTAGACGAAGCCGTACATTTCTGAAATAGTCTATCTGGGAAGCAACAATTGAATTCGAGATACTGGCAAATTAAATTGATCTAGGGTGGGTTGTGAAGGTCAGACTGAGGTCAAAACAAATTTATTTTTTACTGGAGAGCTTGCTTTACGGGATGGGTTCTCATGCTCATTTCAAATGTGCTGATAACGGGGACCGCAACAGACATCTTCTTTGGACTTTTTAAAGGTAATAGTGACCAAAAACAACCTTGAAGTACCCGCTGGTCTTGGAAACGTACCGCCTAGCGTCAGCCATAAAGCTATTCAAGTTAAGAAGTCAAACAGCCTCGTAGGCTTTTGGTAGCCATGACCTTCTAAAAGCCAAGCAGTCTCTGAGGTAAAATGGACCCATTGACCTTTTGTCTAGAACGGGTCACTAACTAGGCGAATCAGGCGGGTCTAGGTTTCAGGTCTAAGGCGGTCGCACGAGGCGATTTGGGGGCTCTCCTCCAGCGTGAACACCACTGCCTACACTGGACACCGGGCTAGGAACGGCAATGTTTGTCGAACATCTTCCGAGAATCGTCCTTCCGCGTAGCTTCCACTTCGAGCTGACCTACCGCTGCCCAAATACCTGACGATTCAGCGCTCTAAACTAGAAACCGTTGGGAAGCCGTTACCGATCAGCGTGAACACTTTTAGCGTGAGCAGACGTTTTCGAAATTTGGTAGGCCTCAGGAGGTGCGGAGGTGTGATGGTTTCATCGAGGTCCATTTTCCTGCGACACAGACGCCAAACGATTGCTAGCTGCCGAGGAGCTGACCTACCGCAAGACCAGGACATCGTCAGCATGGCCACACGACAGAGCTCCACCAAAAAAACAACCTACAAATAAACAACAAAGACATCGAATCGTGTTGTGATGTGCTGGGATTTGCGAGGGGTGCCTGAGGAAAACGTCGTGGAAGGACAGGGGAGACATGGGGTGACTTCTGACAGACGCATCAGGAGAAGGGAGACTGGCCGGCACATTGACAAATATCCCATCATACCGAGTTTTAACGCCCTTACTCTGCTGCAGAGGTCCAAGTGGACTATCACTTTATCTCAGAAAGGCTTTAATTTCAACTCCGGTTCGCTGCTTACGATGCCAGAAACTTTGGACACATTACCGACAGGTGTCAGGGAGGCCGTCAATGTTCCAGACGCTCCTCCCCAGAGCACCAGTCGCGAGATTACCCCGCTGAGTAACCGATATATTCTAACTTTGGCGATGACCACCCGGCGTCCTTTAGGAAGCGTCGGGTGCTTCTTGCTGAAAATAAAGGCATCAGTATCAAAGTCAGAGAAGGTTTCTCATTTGGGGGCGGTCGGCGCAGGTACAAAGAGTGCTCCGCTGAAACGAGGTAGTGTGCTGCTCGTACCTCCACCGTGAGGTGCACAGTTGCGTCGCCTGATGTCGGTCAGGCGCTGACGTACGATCTAGATCTTTGTTAAAACATGACTTTTGGCAATTCTATAAAATGATCACTTATGTATTGGCTCTAGAGGTAAAACTCACCGCCTCCACCCGTGGAAAAAGGTAGCAGGCCATCCCGCGGCTGCCACGGGGCGTGCGGGCGCTACGTCCGCTTCTGGCGCCGCGGGGATCCCTCGCCAGCCGCCCCTCTCCCCCCCCCCCCCCAATCGAGATCCTCTCTAGCTTTTTCTGAGGAAACGGAGGAAAAGAGACGCTTGTTTAATGTCACCGGGCGTTATCTGTTGACCTGGGAGTTACGCCGTTGACCTGGGTTTTATCAAGTCGTCTTTCTGCTCCATGTACTTGTTTCGAACGGAAGACTTACATCGTTCCTCATCAGCGACGGCCTTCGACCAGCTGCAACCTCCGTTCTTGGTCCTTGCCCTTTTTTAACTCGTATAACGTGACGTGGGGTTATGATCTTACGAACAGCAGGGGAAGCGGATATAAACATCTCGTCAACAAGAGCAGACCGCACATTTTAAACACAGGACGTTTCACCCATATTTCATTGTCGTCGGACAAGACTTCTGCCGGAGAGCTCTCGATCTGCACACCAACGCTGTACATTTTTACATGGTTTCTTGGGATGCTGTTAGCCGCCCGCTCGGGAGCGATCACTTCCCCGTCTGACTGAGCCCCAACGCTGGCGTTTGGCCACCGCGAAGAAACCTCCGACGAAGTGACGGTAGCAGTTGCTGCCGAGTGCTCCATCTGCACACGTCCCACAGCTGGTGATTCGGCCACATTCCTGATGCGCATGTCAACTTCCCTAGTGCAACGGCGGCGGTGGACAGTCCATTCCAATGACGTCACGTAAATTAAAACGGCTGCCAGTGCCCTGGAGGTCGCGAGAATGTGGAGCCGCCATTCTTAACCACCACCTTGTTTGTTCGTTTTCCATAACGCCGATTGATGGGGGGGGGGGGGGGAGGTCGATGCGACCACCATGCTGTTCCCAGACTTAGAAAGATAAGGCTTGGCGAAAAATACCAGTGGATTGGTCTGGAATAGGTCTCTCAATTTGTAATACGTTTTAGTTTGCTGGGTCAAAACATGATCCATCTATGCCACGTTAAAGGTCAAGTTGTCCCGAAAAACGCACTTTTCAGTTTTGCAATCTCGTGCATACTAGTCTGTACCATATAGCGACACAAAACTTAAACAGGTATATGCGTTGCTGGTTCTGAGCACAATGATGTGTATTTTATCTGCCTTGACCATATATTCATGATGTATCGCTACATTTAAGGGCGTCTTGTACTTTTCCATGGGTCTTTGGGCTGAAATAGCCACCTTGAAAATCATCCGGAGCAGTCAACAGCCCTGCCTTTCTTAAGACCCAAGCTGCTCTAGTTTCCGAGCTGCATACCTACGAAGGTGTGCATGGTATTTCGGGGAGACATTTTCGAGGTCACAGTATTCATGGCACCATAGTAACGTCACTCGAATTATGTTATTCCATTGGACATGCGGGAAAGAAGGCCAATAAAAATGTAATTACTGATTCGTTCACATGTGGAGTTAGTGAACGCAGTTTTCAGATTAAACAGCCTGCAATTGGCCCTCAACAGATGTGTTGTAACGTACGATTACATAAACAAACAATGAAGTATTTAAAAGTATGTTTACTGAACAGAGGTGTCGTGCCGTCGAGAGCAGTCTTTCCGTCCTAAAAGTATGCCAATAGTTACAAGTGAGCTTGTTCCATGGTATCTGATGCATACTCCAATATCTTCAAATGGTTAACACTCCCTTTAAATGGGATATTTAATTTCACATTTCACATTTAAAGATATTGAAGCAAGCATCAGATGTCATAAAGCAAACTCACTTATGGCTTTTGGTATAATTCTAAGACGAAAAAACTGCGTGAGACAACACAGTTTCTCTGCTTTGTAAAGATGATTCTCGATGCGTCATTTTTTTCACCACGTCATCGTGCCTTCCACAATATTTATTGAGAGCCAGTTGGTTGGCGTTATATTTGGAAGTTGTGCTCACAAGCGGCAGATATGTACGACTCGATCGTCATATTTTCTCGGCCTTTATCGTCGCATAGGGTACTAAATGGCGGGTTTCGAATGACGTTATTACATCATGAATGCTAAATTGCCCTTGAAATACTTTGCCAAAATCACTCTCCCACATCCTTGCAGCCTTCTAGCTCATGAACCAGATGGCTCCAGGTCTTAAAAATAGCACGGCCGTGAGTCGCATGAAAAGGTCGTCGCCACGGCTATATCAGTTAAAAACACCATACAAATGTGGAACACTACATTTAACGTAATAGTGTCGGCCCACCGCACGCGCACCGCGGCATCGCCCGCCTGCCGGCGCCGCCGCAGGTCGCCGTGCAATGCTCCCCAAAAACTGTCGCTGTTCCGAAACCAGAAAAGGTACGGACGCGTTTTTGGTGTAAAAGATGTTCAATGGAGGCCACATATGCCAGCGAAATGTGTGCGCGACTGCACGACATGCCGGAGAGATATCCTAAAAAAAACAGCAGTTGGCGGTCGCGTCGATCTTCTTTCGGAACGGTTGTGTTACGATTCCCGTCATGTTGTCAGGCAACGACAAGTCCTTATCAGTCGCCCTCCAAACTTCAGATGGGGCAACGACGTGGTATTTTGTGCAGTTTTCACATCTGGTGCATGTTTCACGTATGGGTCATATTTGATATGGTTCACATTTGGCACATATTTCACAGTTGGTATGGTTCACATCGAGTATATGTGCCACATTTGGCACCATTATGTTTGGAATGTATTCCATGGCACGTAGGTTGAGCATACATTTTATACCTGGTATACGTTAGCGACGTGCTTGCCCCAACGAGACGAGCCAGCTTTTCAGGGGGCGCAGGATCGACTGTTGAGAGCGGTCGTTAGCCAAAAGTTTCCACGAGAGCACTGGGAGTTTGTTACCGGAGCATGGACGACGGCTAACTTTTCCAATATGCCTGCCGATTCAGATGATTCGAAATCCTTTTATTCGATGCCACAGTGCCGTTACCGGCCCACCTGATCACTATTCTTTATTCGCCATGTATCCACCCATCATCCTGTTCTAACAATATTCTGCTCTTCGGCCATGGTATTCACCGAGAAGTGTCAAGTGAAGATTGCGCAAATAATAAGTACCCACTGACTGGGCGCTGCCCGGCTGGTGCGTGCTATCTGTTCCCCGACAGGTGTGTGGCTGGGCCGTCCGACCGTTTGCAGGGCACGACGACCAGCGTGTTGCATGTTGCAGGGTACGCCAACCCGCTGCGGGTGCCGGATCAGCTAGACGCCGAGGCGCTCCGAAACATTTACGAGCCGTGGCGCAGCGTGCTGAAGCTATCGCCCAGCCACCCGACCAACAGCAACTACAAGTGGGTGCCGCGACCAAAGCTGCACGCGCTGGCTGTGGCCACGTGTGCGTCTGAGGCGGCCATCCGGCTGTGGAGGATATTCAGGACAGCCTGTAAACTGCGCTCTTTATTGTTGCCGTCATAATTGCTTTTGCTGTGTGAGCTGTAGCCAACAGTGTGTTAACATGGTTTGATCATTTGTTTTGTTTAATGTTTTGCACCTTTCCACGGGACTGCCGGATGAACCATATTGTACTATGCCTAACATAATGTGATATGTATATATACATATATATATAGCGGCATAGTCCTCAGCGATGAGCGCACCACAAGCCTGTCATGCAGCCTGCGGCAAGCAACGGTGCATATTGTTCCATACGCTGTTCGGCCCATGCCTGTGCTTACCCAGCGCACTGTCTGCAGGCAAATCATGGATCAGATAAAGAACGCGTCCACGGAGGAGCCGTTCGGCGTGCCGATTCATCACAGCATTTTCCGCTCGATGAAGGTATCTCGCACGTGTTCGCAAATACCGGCAGGCACGCAGTCGGTACTGAAGAACAATGACGACAGCTGAACCGTTGCGGGAGGGAGGGAAGGAGGGTGGGGGGGGGGGGGGGGGAGGGGCAAGGAAACCAAGTGACAGGATGGGTGGGCGGTAAGTATGTGCATGCTTGCGGTTGCGCTGTTGGCCTGTGGCTTCTGAAGTATGGCTGGTGCTGATGGGCTTGTGTGGAGATGGCTACGTTCAAACTAGTGGCAGCCCGTGGTGTCAGTGCCAATGCTGCAAACCTTGATTGTGTGGTAAGTTTAGTTCATCTGCGTCCATGCATGTTCTTGGCTATGATGAGCCTCTTGGCTCCCTCAGTGTTTGGTCAAAGGGTTTTGCTGGGCATGGTCCTGACTTCGTTGTTACCATATTTGTTTACATCAATGAATATATATATATATATATATAATGGGATTTAAAACACAAATTTTTAGACCCTGTTTACCATCTAAAAAACTGAGCAGGCTGCGACGATGAAGAAACGGGATAAATAGCTGTTGGAACACTTAATCGGATAGCGACTGGAGAACATCGACTGATGTAAACTGTGATGCGTCATGTTGCGTAAAATGAGGGAAGACAGTTGTTGCACTGGCCCGTCCAACTTCATCAAGAATAAAAAAAATGTCAAAGCAATTTCTCAAACAGGGTTAGGGAGGCCTTCGGACCTTTTATATATGTACCATTGGGAAATATGGATACAGATTTCAGTTCCTCGCCTCAAAGGTTGAACGCTAAAGCTTTCTAAATATGCAAACCGAAAACTTGGGTCGAGTCCTTACATTCCACTTTGTCCAAGCTGCACACCCCCAAACTATTTGTTTATATGCTTTAAGAGAATGAGACGCCCGTCACGCCCCTCTTATGGAGTACCGGTGACTGCATTATCATTGGCTATATCAGCCCTCAGGGGTCATGGCACAACTGGGGTGTTTCTGGGTACTCAGGGGTGCCAGTTTTTATGTATGCATTTATATATTACACACACACACACACACACACACACACACACACACACACACATATATATATATATATATATATATATATATATAATATATATATATATATATATACATATATATATTATAGTGGCCTCAGGAAGTGACCGGACCCGCAATGCTCTCATGTTTGGATCTGTGGCAAGGTATGACAAAAAATGTACGCCAGCGTTCAAAGTCATCGTTGGAACCTCTCTTTCACTTTATTTTAGGTGGAAATGTTACCGCAGTGACCTAATACAACGAATGTTTGAACATGCGTTGCATAATTTTCCACAAATGCTGCTTCGATTTCTTTGGATTTATCGAATCGCGCGATTCAGCACATGCTTTTCTTTAGAACGCTTCGGAAATTTTCGAGAAAGGTACAGAAACCGGGCAATTCCAAGTTTCCCCTCTCGCACCTGAGGCTGCCTCATCTCTGTCCTCTGGCCGTTGACCTCGTGACCTCGTGACTGCCAGGTGCCGGTGGCTGCGGCGCACGCCTACGACGCGGTGTTGCTGTACGCAAGGGCGCTGACCGAGGTGCTCGCAGCCGGTGGTGACCCCAGGAACGGCACCGCTGTCCTCCAGAGGATCCGTGGACACAACTTCATGTCACTGCGAGGCTACATGGTGCGTTGGTTAGGGGAAGTACTAACGCGTACACCATCAAGACGCGTCTTCGGAGGTGCCCGGTGGCATTTCGTGCCTGTGAGATTGAATGCCAATCCTCCGGCAAACAAACCATAAGATATGGCCTTCCGCGCTATTGAAAAGGTAGTTTTAGATGTCTTACTGGTGACAAATTTATCACTATTTTATACAGACAAGACAGCAGTAATAGCCTTGCTCCTCGGAAACCAGGAAAATGGAGAAATAGGTCGTTTAAAAAGATGTAACCAATATATTGATCCATTCCCCTGGTCTTTGTCGGAGGAATAAGGCTATTACTGCTGTCTTATCTATGTCAACAATGTTCCTCGCAAATTCACCGAACAACTAACAATATCTTATGTGATGATAGCTGGCGGGAATAAAATTATTTGACGTGCGGCAACATTTCCCTATAAAATTGAGGCGAAACACGTTTTATTTCATATTATTTGCATGTCAGTTCAGTGGCGCAGCGAAGATGCAGATTTTAAGGTGCAATCCGAACATTTTAAACGGATGGATTTGTGGGACCGGAGATCACGCCAAGCAGCGCTTGTGTGAGCCTTGACCCCTAACGCCTGATCGTACAATACCGGGTTAACGGCAGTTTTGTAGCGTTGGAATTTTAACGTGAGTATGCTCCCACGGTCATTCCCATCATTGCCTAACGTTCAACATAGCCTAACCTTCAGCGCGACCGCTGCCACAGGGCGCGCGTCATATCTGTCAAAGGCAACTAGCGAACGCCCAAAGCGACTCGAACGCACTCCAGGCGCCCTTTTCAAATAAGCTATCGGGACGGGCAAAGCGTTTCCTTTGAGGCCATTTACCCTCCCAAAGAAGTGGCGCCCCCCCCCCCCTCTACACTTCCGGACATGGCTTTGTGGGGCTTTTAAAACACCAAAAAATACACCTGATGCATCGAAATGTAAAATCCCTATTCCAAAAATGTCGCCGGACCTCACAACACGGCCCGCTATAACGACGATAAGTGTCCCCTGGAATGAATGTGCACCATATGACCCGATTCGACCTTCTCCAGGAGAAATCCTAGATTCGTCACTGTGACTGTTGACACGCGCCCGGGTGGCCGACTAGAGATACCCTCCGTTCGGGTGGGCGGTGGTCAATTTGACCCCCACCCCACCCCGAGATCTCGGGAACTAAGAGAGCTAAAGACACCAAATTTGCGGGGTATGTTGACCTATGTGTGAACTCACTTAGGTCAAATATTCAGATTCCTAGGTCATGACCTCCGGGTCAAAAAAGTCAAACGAGTTCAAGTTCCAGGTTGATCTCCAAAGTGCCCCCAGAACCTAGATAACCGTTTCTAAGCAAAAGATCACATGCTCATTTGAAGTCAGTGACCTTGTTTGACCTTTTGAAGGTCAATGAGACAAAAATAATGTCAGATTGCTTTGAGATTTGCATTTGACTAAACGACAAGGATTACGCTAGACAGTATGTTCCTAAAACAAAATGTTGACCTGGGTCATTTTAGGTTATTGACCTATTCTGACCTCTAAGAAGTCCAGGGATGGTGCATAATGCGGTTCCTGCCACTAATAAATTCGAAATGAGCACTAAAAACTATCCCATACAGCAAGTCCTAAAGTAACAAAACAGGTTGGTTTTGACCTCGGTGTGACATTCATACCTGACCTTAGCTCGATACAATCTGATCATTCAACTGTTGTGTTGCGTGAGAAAGCATCTCAGATATGTTTGGTTTCGTCTAACACCCCGTTGTTGGATCAGATTGAAGGATTCCCTAGAAATTGCATTCGCTGACACCATAGCCTAACTTTGACCTGTCATAGGTCCGCGACCTTACAAGGTACATCTACATTTTTTATCCCAAACGATCCGCGATTCAATTATCTACAGCTATGCAAAATTTGGCATGGCTGCGCTGGGTTGTTTGGAAAAAAATCTGGAAAAACCTTCGGCGGATCAATTTGACCCCCACCCGAGCGCGTGATAAGCTGGCAAACATCGATCTCGCCTCGAGACACAGGGCAAAAACCAAGGGTGATTTGTAGTAACCAATCGAGTGCTGAAAAAAGAGCTGGCGTCATAACGGCTTGTTTTTAAGAATAAAGCCGAGGTGGTTTGCATTGATCATACGGTGCTGTAGGGAACCCCTCATTAGCGGTACACATTGGGATGTGCCATTGTCCGCAAAGTATTGGCTGTTTCAACACGTAATTGCGGATGCATCTCGCGGACAGGCGGGCCGTGATCGTTAACCCTTATCTGGGACCCAGGGGGCGTTAGCATGCGTTGTTCGGGCTTCCTTTGGATGGTTATATGAGATCGATGGTATCGAATATACCGGATTGCTGAATGAAGTCTCACACGCTCGTACGTACCCAACTAGTGCTAGTGGGCACGGGGTGAACCACCGCAGTCATCATTAGCAGATCCGTGTCGAAGAGAGCACTGAACGGATCATTTTTAAGAATAACGCCGAGCATCATAAACGGATCAGTTCATCGGGCCTGTCGCTGGTAACGGGCGTTGCATACCACTCTATGTGAAGGCCAGCATGAGCCTCAAGTGAGCATGCAATGGAGGGAGGCAACAATTTTGCGGTCGCCGAGACGTGGCAATAACACTGAACATTTTCTGAAGCGGCTGCGATAAGTGGCTATTGATCGCACTGTAGCGATCAAAGGTGACATCATGAACCGTTGGCAGTATAATTCGCATCTGAACAGGCCACATCACAGTCGTCTAGGTCCAGGGGTGTTTGGTTGTTGTATCTGCATGAAGGTATGGATGGGCATTTGAAGCTCTCGCAACCGAACTCGGTGTGGGGTGGAGGTGTCATCGATTGATTACATCACGGCACAAGTCGGTCCGCAATGCGTCATTAGCTGTTGGTCGCTGTCCAGTGGCCGACGCATTAGCTGCTGTAGTAAAAAACTGTGGTTGCTGCAAACGGGACGGGAAAGCTAAATAAAATTGGCCGTCGAACTAAAACAGCTGTAAATCGTCGGAGTGCGAGCCAGGAAGGACGCCGCTCGCGTGTACCCTGCGTGGAACATATCACGTGACTGCCAGCAGCAGCGGGTGTATTGAATGAGCGTAATTCTGCACACCGCGCAAACAGACTCCGACTGTTATTTGGACTCTGGCGGTGGCTGCGGAAACCGTTATCGGTTGTGACGGGGCCGACGCCAGCAGTGGGATTAATAATGACTCCATCAGCCGACTGGAAATAGCTGCAAAAGGGAGGCAGTGCGTTTTGGTGTAGGTGTCGTGGAGCGGAAATAAAAGGATTGCCAGATTATGGCGTAGCGAACTGAAAGGTCGGGCGGCTACAGCTCCGGCTCTGCTCCTTCAACCTGACTTTGTGTGAATGCTGCTATTGGGCAGGCTCAAGCCTAGCCTATGGTAAACTTCCGAGGTAAATGTCCACTCTGGAGTGGTGTGCACGCTGTTTGACGATACCAAACGGTGCTGTACAAGATCCAGGAGACCGTGAAAGCTGGCGTGGCGTCAAATCCAGCGGAAAAAGGTCAGACTCCCGTGTGGCGGTGTCGAACCTGGCAGAAAAGGTCAGGCTCCCGTGGGGCGGTGTGGAGCCCGGCAGGAATGGTCAAGCTCCCGTGGGGTGGTGTGAGCCTGGCAGAAATGGTCAATCTACCGTGGGGCGGTGTCGAACCCGGCAGGAATGGTAAAGCTTCCGGGGTGGCAGTGTCGAACCTGGCAGAAAAGGTCAGGCTCCCGTGGGGTGGTGTCGAACCCGGCAGGAATGGTCAAGCTCCCGGGGTGGCGGTGTCGAACCTGGCTCAGGTCAGGCTCCCGTGGGGTGGTGTCGAACCCGGCAGGAATGGTCAAGCTCCCGGGGTGGCGGTGTCGAATCTGGCTCAGGTCAGGCTCCCGTAGGGTGGTGTCGAACCCGGTAGGAATGGTCAGGCTCCCGTGCGTCTTTCTGGGTTCAGAGCTCACGCTAAGCAGTGCTTATTGTGTGAGCTCTCGCTCCTACCATCAGATCGCGCATTTCCAGGTCAGCGGATTAATTTGGTGGTGAAAGTGCAACGCGCTGCAATGCTTGGCACGCTCCGTCCTGACCTCTGACGCCATCTGACCTTTATCGCGGCCGCTACCACCGGCCGCAGGCCATATCTGTCAAGGGCAACTAGCGAGCGCATAAGTAACTCGAACCCACCCCGCCACGGGTAGATGGACCGGAAGGCAGCCGTTCTAACAACTGAGGGCATTTAAGACAGATTGGTGTTTTACGTGATAGATTGTCTGACAATGAATGATATTTTCAATCGATTGCATGCATTCACTGCTGATTCAGAATGTTTTCGGCATTGCAGGTTCACATGGATGATAACGGTGACGCAGAAGGCAATTACACGGTGGTGTCACTGCTGCCAGATCCATCTGGCAACAGCAGTCTGCCCTACCGAATGCTTCCCGTCGGCTATTTCTCCACTGAGGGTGGCGAGACCCGGTCTTCGCGATCCTCAAGTGAACTGCCGGTAGGGCTCAGTAGTTTGTACGAACAAACGCTTGACTCTCGACTGTCTTTGTTGTCTCTTCTGAGTTGCGGTATAGACTCATAGCCCTCAAGTCCTGAGGTGGCTTCCGTTACTTACAAGCGCACTGTCGTTTCTAGGCTTCAACATTCTGCCCCCTCATCTTCACCATATCCCCCGCCCCCAGAGTTTTGGCATGCTACTGTGAGCAATGTGATGTGGTATGTTTTTTGGGCTTTCTCTTTTCCTGTTTGTCGCTGAAGCCCAGGTCTCCGCACCTGCTAGGGGAGAGGCACAGCACGGGCCAATGTATTTCCCACGTGGGTGCCCCCCCCCCCCCTCCCCGATACGAACAGCTGGCTTGAAATGAAACCTGAAATTGTCGCTCATACTGTCGACCGCCGTTTTACCTGTCCAAAACCATCATTCTCGTTACAATAATGGGCTCCCGGGGAAGGTGTAGTATAGGACTGAGTTAAAGCTAGCAGATTACGCTACTTACCACCATGCCACATAAGTTGGCGAGTGCTGCCAGCGATACCGCCTGATAACATTGCCATTTTCCGGTAGTAGAGTTTTCTTTTCAGTTGGGGAAACAGTCGCCCCACTCAGCTTGTACTTTGAGAGGGAAAGGGACCAAATGCAGAGCGAAGCCCCACTCGTTGGTGTACGTTGGGGGAAGGCCGCGTCATTTTTCACTGCACAGCCCCCAACGCTGCAGTTTTTGCGACACTACGCCCTTCTCGTCGGTTCATTATACTATTTTATGTTTTCAATGGCAACCCCATTAAATAGATGATGTCTATAGTGGTCTATACTTGGATATGGGTCAACATCTTTTTACGCGGCCGCATTTCTGAATCACCTTTGTTAACATCTTCGTGGAATCTCGTTTGCACCACTTTCATTGATACCGATAATGCACCATTCTCCCAGAACGACATTAAATGGAAACTTATCGCGTTTAACATCTTCTATTCCACCGCAGGAGTTCCGCTACCTGGACGCAAAGCAAGGCATTGACTGGGTGCTAGGGCACCCGCCGCACGCGCACCCATCCTGCGGCTTCGACGGCCAGCTTTGCCGCTTCGACCCGGACCCCAAAACGATAGTAGTGGTCACCCTAGGTGTCTGCGTGGTGCTCGTGGCCGCCATCTTTGCTTTCAGGTGAGAGTTTGTGTCCGATACCGCCATTTTGTTCAGGCTGGTGGTGAGAGTGCGGGTCATTGCCTCCTATGTGTGGTTATATGCATTATTAAACAGAAAGTTGGATATTAGTTTGTCCATTACATCACATCAGATTCGATAGCACACGCTGTTTACGAGGCGAAGGTATGACACCCGAGGTCTGATGTAGCCGTGTCCGTGTTTTGGAAGTTTTGGGTTCCAGCTTAGCAGGTCACGTGTCTGGCGCAATGTATAGGAAAATTGTTTTTACACTCACTGTCGCCATCAATATGGCTTCAATTGGAACACGCTGCGAGAATGTGCAACTTGTCCCCAGTTATCACTCCCCGCTCGAAACAATTTGAACAATGGCTCAGTAACCCGTAATTTAGTCATTGCACAACTCCTGAGGTAACCACCAGTCAATTAGGATCACAAACCAGTCGCATGTAGGTCAATATCAGTACCGCATGCACGACGTCGTACCGGTTGTAAGCGCTGAATGGAATGCCGTTGTGTTATCTGGCGTCGGGATTATGAGTGTGGTCAACGGAGAAACCACGGAAACCGAGGTGCAGGCAATAATACTGCTGTTGTGTAATAAGCTCGAGGGCAATGCCGGACAGTTGGCTTGCATAAGTAGCAGGTGTAGTCTGGCATCTTGAAAGGCAGCAGGTCTAGTCTGGCGTTCTGAAAGGCAGCTGGTGTGGTCTGGCGTCGTGAAAGGCAGCAGGTTTTGCCCGGTGTTCTGAAAGGTAGCAGGTCTGGTCTGGCGTCGTAAAAGACAGCAGGCGTGGTCTGGGTCCTGAAAGGCAGCAGGTCTGGCCTGGCATTCTGAAAGGCAGCGGGTCTGGTCTGGTGTTCTGAGAAGCAGCAGATGTGGTTTGGCGTACTAAAAGACAGCAGGTGTCGCCTGGCGTTCTGAAGGGCAGTATATGTGGCCAGGCGTCCCGAGAAGCAGCAGACGCGGTTTGGTGTCCTGAAGACATGGCCTGGACACCATCAAATCCTTCTAAATCAATTGTAGCCAATGGTCCGATGTCTTCGCGTTCAATCTTTTTCAGGATAAACTTTAGAAAGCAGTTTATCATGTTCATTTTCTGGATAGGAAAAATAATTGCCTTACCTAAATATAGCTTCTAGGCACAAATAAATTTGGCGGAAGCGTGGCGTTCCTTTTTGGCGTTTGTGTTAAGCCGTGCATTAACGGACTGAAACGCTGGCATAATGGAAGTGCTACTTCCTCTTATTCGTATCCCATGTGATGCATTCTAAAGCCAAAAGTTCAGACTTGTTTAAAAGAAAACGCCCGACAACAACAACAATATCTAAGGCAGCAGGACAGTTGACTTAAACAACTCGGAGACATTCATTCCAAGGGCGCAATCTTTTTACCGCAACCCTAGAGCGCGTTGCAGTGTCTATTGTTGTTTTTGGAAGCACATACAAAAGATTCTTTTCGTCATGATGTTATTCACACCACACACTTAACGGTGCTTTGGGACTTCTTCCGCTTTATCATGCCATGAGGAGGTACCTAGCTCGCGATCTGGCTTCAGTGGATAGTTTAGTAGTTGAGCTGACATGTTTGCGCTGTTTACAAAAGCTGTTAGGTTATGTTTGCTTCCCATATACCATAACTGACAACATCTGTGTCACAGTCGCCTCAGTCTCGTTTCGGGTTCAGGGAAGCAATGATGCACGTTTATCATAGAATATTGAATTATCAAACAAATTGATGTATTTTAGCCTCCCGTATTAGTCGGTGGCGCAAATATATGAAATGGTAAATCACCTATGACACCTGAGCGTCGCATCGAATCACAAATCGCAAAATGACAATGAAGGAAGAGCAACACCTTTCAGTTCGACATCTTGCCTTGCACTTTTGAGTCCACACTAGTTGCGACACATTCGGACAGCAGGGCCAAGTTGCGATGTTTGCATGACAGATTGCTGGTATGACTCGTGATTAAACGAACATAGTAAGGTAGTGATAAACGACAGTGCGTAGTGCTACGCGCTACCTAAAAATGGTCCCTGGACTTGCTGATCCCTCAGTCCGAGGTTGGCAAAACCACTGTGAAGCACTAAATGCTCGTGCTAAAAATATGCACGCTTATCGATATGGGTAGCAACTGACGAAAATTGCATAGCGAATTATATCAATAAAATGATCACACACTGTCTGTTAGATGCATGAATGTCGTACATATACAATATTTTTGCGCAATTATCTTACCTAGCGCTTTTCCACACCTACATTTCACTTAGCGTTGTTTTGCGCATCCATATTACACAATACTTTTCCGGGCGCGTATCTTAACTAATTGAGATTCGCGCGATTGGTTTAATAGCAACATATACATCTAAGTAAATATACATATACATACATACATACATATATATATATATATATATATATATATATATATATATAATGTATATATATATGCATCTCTCTCTCTCTCTCTCTCTCTCTCTCTCTCCTCTCTCTCTCCTCTCTCTCTCTCTCTCTCTCTCTCTCCTCTCTCTCTCTCTCTCTCTCTCTCTCTCTCTCTCTCTCTCTCTCTCCTCTCTCTCTCTCTCTCTCTCTCTCTCTCTCTCTCTCTCTCTCTCTCTTCCTCCCTCCCTAATAAATAAAGGTTATATATACATGTATGTGCATGCATATATATATATATATATATATATATATATATATATATATATACATATGCATGCATGTATCTATATATTTGCGTTGCAGACAACGCAGCTCCCTGACAAGCAATTCAGTAATCAGTACGCAGTCCGAAAAAAGAAAAGTACTACTCCATGTATTGGTAGGTGTACACTTGGCAATGGATAGTGTAATCGATATGATGGTGGCGCAAAATACAATAAAAAGTTTTTTGTAAGATCTATGTGTGAAGCAGCGTTATGTTAGACCTACGCGTGGACGAATAAGATGTATGTTTGATATTCATGCATCTTTTAAAGTGTGTGTTATGGCTTAATGACGGAAGTGATGTTTTTAAAATCCTCGCCAGTGGCTACTCATATCGTTCACTGCGCATGTTTTTTTTTAGGTCGAATTTAATTTCGTGCAACGTTTTTGTCAAAAATCAGACTCAGAGAAGGACCGAGGCCGAAATTTTGTCTCCCCTATTTTAAAAAAGAGGTTTGGCATCATTGATATCCTAGTAGTGTTTGTTATAAATCGTGACTCAAAACTGGGATTTCTCCGTGTGAAATAGCCATTTCCGTAAATTTCTCCGTGCAAATTCTATCTTACTAACACCGGAAAACACACCCTGCATAGATTTATTGGGTGTCGTCCATCTCCTGCCAAGCATTTGTCCTGTATTGTGTATCTTATACTGCTGCAGCCGTGAACTTTATAAAAAAAATTGCAATGTATTTATTTGATGAGATACATTATTCGGGGCATTCGAATTCCGCTGCAGTCTGACGGCTGAAAAGTCTCGACGCTTGACACAAATGCTTGAGGTCGTGAGCACCCAAAACGCTCGGGTTTCCGAAGTCTTCAGGTACGCCTCGACATCCATTCCAAATGAGTCCAAGCCGTTACTGAGAATATTCTGCCTGATCAGTGAGGTCGCCAGCTGTCACGTTGGATTGGGGTTGGTATGGCTTCGTCTTCTGCGGTTTCCATCCGCAATGATAAGGAAAGTAAGTTGTTACGTGCATTTGCAGGTCGCATGATGCATTAAGTAAGACAGCACTAGAAGCCCATTTCCTCTTACAATAAGCAGGAAAATGGAGAGATAGGTGAATTAATATCTCGGCTTCATGACTTTTCCAAAACAAATATCACTGATAAGCTCAATACTCTCCGCTGATTTTCAGCTTTTTTAATCGTGAGCCACAGTTTTTACAGGTCACCAACATTCATTGAACTAAGCAATGAACAATTGACAGTCATTACTGCGATACAGTGCATATCTAAGAACTAGAATACGCGATTAAACGCTCACTTGATTTGTTTGCGTATACTCATATTTCAGGTACTCTCATTCTTAGTTACATATGCACTGTATCGTAGAAATGACTGGCAATTGCTACTTATTTACTCCCCTGCGTGTCGGTTACCTGTAAAAACCGCGGATCGCCTGTTTCAAAAAACCAAAAACAAACTGAAAAACGACTAGGATCATCGGCAGGCACTTCTAAATTTGCTTTTGCTATTCGTTTTGATAAAGGGATATTGCCGAAATATGAACGCATCTATATTTCCAGTTTCATGGTCTTCGTGCAGGGAATATGGTTATTACTATTGTCTTAGATATACTTCGAGATAACACAGATTGTCTACAACTCATCATGATCTCGGCTCGAAGCCACTGGTACATGCTCCACGAAAGGAGACCAACATCCGTCCAAACGTCCGATTTTCCAACTCTTCAGCAACTTCTCCCAACCGCCACATGCAATGCGCCTGCCGTGTTTCACGCACACCTTTTAAACCCTTCCCTGCATCCCTCCCCCTCCCCCCCCCCCCCTCCTTGGTCGTCACGCTTCACGCTACCGCGCCACTAATCCTTCGTTCCCCAGCATTGTTACCCTCTCCGTCATTCCCCCCGCACGCAGCGCTCCCTGGGAACTGAACTTGAACGTTTTCTGGCGTAATAGCACTCCAGAGAGTCCGCGATGGATTTGCGCCGCTGTTTACCATTCGGGGCAGGGCCGGTAGCGACCTCGCCCATTCGGCTCCCCGTGGCTGGGCATACGTAATCTGCCGACCCGCGGCCGCCGGGCTTCTTTCGAGTGGCGCCAAGGCAGGAGCGTTCGCGCTGTGTGCAATTGATCGTGCGAAGATTGCCTTCGATAAGCGATGACAGTATTAGAGTATACAGCACAGCATTTTTGGTTTTCAAGTGCATAATGTATTGTCATAGGCATTATACTGTATAGTTTATCAACATCATAGTTTGAAGTATATATATATATATATATATATATATATATATATATATATATATATATATATATGCATGTATGTGTGTGTGTATGTGCGCGTGTGTGTGTGTGTGTGTGTGTGTGTGTGTGTGTGTGTGTGTGTGTGTGTGTGTGTGTGTGTGTGTGTGTGTGTGTGTGTGTGCGTGTGTGTGTGTGTGTGTGGTATATGATATAGTATGAGATGAACATAAGTAGGATAAGTACTTGTCAATCGGCTCTGCACTTTTCACAAGTTCCGACCACCTCACGAAAGACCTCGATGTAGTGCTTGACGTTTACCGTGTAGTACCTTCCATAGTGGCAAAGGAGGCAGATTTGTGATTGCGGTCTAACACACCTAACCTGGTGCGTTTCCAGGCATTACATGTATGAACACAAGCTGGCGTGCCTTCTGTGGAAGATAGATCTAAAGAACGTTACTCTCTTAGAGGCAGGTGGCTCGGAAAACTTCGCTACGCAGTTTAAGGTAAGGTTCTTGATTCACTACAAATGCTGCGTCCGTCGCGCCCAATGAACTGGACCGTTTTTGTAAAGTACTATGATTTTAGAGCACTACTGATCGGCGTCTCCGTGTGTTGCCCAGTGGGGGTCTCGAGGTGTCTTGCTGAGCGGTCATCCAAGCATCACTGTCTTCCGATATCCATGTATAACTATCGGGTGCCGACTGTGTTATATGAGTTAAACATCTAACGAGTTTGTGCCAGAAGCATGCTCCGTTTTTGTTATAACGCTTTTTAATGACGGCTTAATATGCAGTCATACATGTTTAATCCCCAAACCCAGCTGTAAGTATGTATATGCATGTGTCTTTGGATGTCTGTATGGAGCGACCCTCCCTTCGGTTCCTTGCCGTTGGTGTCTTCACCACTCTTCAGCGTATTGCAAGGAAACCCGACAATGTATGCTCGCAAATGCCACCTGCGCTTCTTGGCGGCTAATGATCGTATTTAGACTTCAGCGTTGATTTCCACCAATCTTAAACAGTCCCTACCGAATCAGGCAGGCTATGCATAGCCAATGCATTGGCTATGGGGTTTCCGCTCGTGCGGCACGTTGAATTGATCAATGAGCTAGAGTATTGCTTGCTGTCAGCTCAAGTGGATGTCCAATCGATTATTACATCCTCTTTTCAATATGGTAGATGCACGTTCAATGGAAATGTTCGCTTGACGCTAAAGACGATGACACCAGAGCTTAATCACATATGCGGCCAAATATCATATTAGGCGTCCAATGCCCGCTGACGACGCAAAGGGCAGAGCTCTGAGCTGCGCAGATTCCCTGGAAAAAAGGATCAGACCATTTCAGAGTGTTTTGTACCCGCGTCGCTTACATTCGCCACTCGGGAACATCAGTGAACCACCATTTAGAGCATCGTTCGTCTCGCAGGTCTCTTTTATCTCGCAATGCTTCAGATCTCCTGAAGTCGTTTATTACAGACTGTTCACCATTTGCAAGTATTAAAATAAGCATCAGACATGATGAAATAAGCTCATTCATAAATATTGTTTTGCCTGTTTAGTAACACAGAGAGCTCCAGACAACGCAATTTTTCTATTGAGTACATATGCTCCTTAATGCGTCATGGTTTGATAACGTCATCGGAACTTGCGCAACATTGATTGAGAAACAATTGACGGCCGTTACACCTAGGAATAGTCCTCACGAACGCCAGATGTGAGCAGTTCAACAGCTATATTCCCTTGGCCTTGATCGTCGTCGCTGACTAATAAGTTGGCAGGGTGTCAATGACGTTATTATGACGTCGTGGGTGCCTGGGTGATCTTGCAATAGTCACCCCGAGCAGTGTGCACATCTTCGCGGGCGTATGGCTCAGAAACTATATGGGTTTAGGACTTGACAAACGCAGGTCCATTAACAGCACTGAATGATCTTTCAGCTGCCTATTTCAATTCAAAACCCCATCAAATGCGAAAAACTCCCGTTAAGGGAGACGCCTAAAATCACGCTCGGTATCGTTTTATCGGCCACGACCAGCTCTGGCATAGTTTCGCAAAATACGTTCAAGTCTACGTTTCTATTAGCTTATTAAGGATTCATCCTCAGTTTATGAATCCAGTGAGATGCACACGACATAAAAGCGGCAGGCACATTTACACAGAATCAAAACGATGATGGTCATGATGTGTACAAAACATCACGGACAGCCCATTTTGTTTGTGCTGGCTGACCCATGGCACGTAGGAACGCGTTCCTGCGTTTCCCGCTTGTCTGCGTTCCTCAGCCCGCCACGCCAAGTTGTGGGTGGCGGGCGGAGCAAAGACAACTCGCCAAAACTATCCTTAAATGCAACAAAAAAGGTTTTCCGCGGAGGTGACTAACTTTCCTCTCAAAGTTGCGTAATGGAGCCCTTGGCCTGCCTCCCCCCCCCCCTCCCCCTCCCCTCCACTGAATAGGAAACTACAACCCCGATGGCGAGCTTTCGCAACCTTCGATATACGTCGCCATATTGCTGTAACGTATCGGAGAATGCTTTTCGGATTCTCCAAATCCCTGCTGCTGGCGTCTGGGGATGACTTGGCGGATTCCCGTCCCGGGCCCTCGGCACGTACCTGTCGTTAGACACAATGTCGAGAAGCCCGGATTACGTGCCGGCGGGCTTTCAGTAACCTTTCCTCGTTGGCAGCTCGATCTCGCTGCGCCTGGTCACCTGGCCAGGCCATGGTACACCGACGGAGCTGGGAGCCGGCCGTACTGGCTCACAGTTTAAGTCCACATCATTCGTGACCGCGGCCATGTGCACTGACCTTGCAGCGAGACATGCACACGCATGTAATATTACGGTCAAACACGAAAGCGATCAGGGTCAGCCTAACATGACGTTTGTCGCGTAATATCTGCATTTTCATCTTTCGTTAATTGTTGTTTTATTTCAGTAACTGTTTCACTGTCGGGATGATTGCGGAATTAATACTAGTGTTTAGAGGTTTTTTTGGCTACAAACTGCACAATAAGCATATAGATAATCCCTCTGACAGCAAGCTGCAATCGCTTCAGAGCTAGGGTGGAGAGAGAAAGATTTCACCGGAAAACCTCACGGGTGCACACAATTCAAGTCATTCAAGGTACAACTTATGACTAGTGAGATATGCCCCGACTAACAAAGATAAAAATTTTAATTTCACATGGAGTAAGGCTCATGAATAGGACAAAACTGCTTTGTTTTCTCATATGTTTGGTCATTACGCTGACTTACAATACATTGAAGGTTAGGAATGTCGTAATAGTGCGATGATTGCCATGCAGCTTAGTATTCCGCTGTTAAAAAGATGGCGCATGTCCATAGTGCAGTTATTTGCCAGTCAGCAAATCATGGCTACTACGCACAAAGCCCCATTTGTGCATAGTTGCCAAGTCCTGTTGGGGCAAACATAACTTACCACTCCAACAAATGCTGTGTAAACGATGGATGATGCGAGGCAAAATGTTTTAACACGCGCCCGGGTGGCTGGCTAGATACCCTCCGTTCGGGTGTGGGGGATCAATTTGACACCACTTTCCCTGAGATCTCGTGAACTAAGAAAGCTAGAAAAACCAAATTTACAGGGTGTGTTGACCTGTACGTGAACTCACTTAGGTCGAAGTTTCAGGTTCCTAAGTCATGGCCTTTGGGAAAAAAGGCAAACAAGGTCAAGTTCCAGGTTGATCTCCAAAGTGACCCCAGAACCTAGATAACTGTTTCTAAGCAAAAGGTCACATTCTCATTCAAGGTCAGGGACCTTGTTTGACCTTTTGAAGGTCAAGGTGATCAAAATCATACAAGATTGCTTTGAGTTTTGCGTTTGACTAAGCGACAAATATTATGCTAGGCAGTATGTTCCCAAAACAAAATGTTGACCTGGGTCATTTTAGGCCAATGACACATTCTGACCTCTAAGAAGTCCACGGAAGATGTATAATGTGGTTCCTGCTATCAATTAACTCGATTGAGAACCAAAAACCATCCCATACAGCACGCCCTGGAGTAATAAAACAGGTTGGTTTTGACCTTATTGTGACCTTTATACCTGGCCTTAGGTCAATGTAATTTGATCATTCAACTGTTCTGTTTCCTAAGAAAACAACTCAGAGATGTATGGCTTCGTCTAACACTCCGTTGTTGGATCAGATTGAAGGATTCCCTAGAGATTGCCTTCGCTGAACCCATGGCCTGAATTTGATCTGCCATAGGTCAGCGACCTTACAGGGTACATCTAATTTTTCTACTCCAAGCGATCCGCTATTAAATTGTCTACAGCTATGCAAAATTTGGAGCGGCTTCGCTGCGCCGTTCGGAAACCATTCCGGTAAAAAAATCGGAGAGGTCAACTTGACCCCCGTCCGCCACCCGAGCGCGTGTTAATTGAATATCTCGGGCATCATATCACTTGTCGGATGGATAACATTGGTGGAGTGTGATACAGAGAATGGGCAAATTTGGTTATACATCACGTTTTAGAAGAATATATGGTTAGCAATTAGGTGCTCCGAAGAGGAAAACTACTACATCTTAAGAGCAGGATTATTTCTGCTTCGCTAAAAAAGGCAGCGTCCTTCGAGTGCCTTGCTGACTGATGGGGTCATCTAACCCACTCACAACATGAAATTATCATTTATTCCCATCAATCAACAAAATTATAATTCGACATAAGTAAGAGGGACTGTGCACTACAGATATGAGAAAACAGATTTTAATGGTAGGATTTCTCTGGGAAGCACTTCTGTATTAGCTGCGCAATTCTGTCTCAAAAGCAGCATAAATTTGGTTGTACGGCAGGATAATACAGTTTTGTAAAATTTCAAAGCTGACATGCCTTGGATTTATCATCATTGGTCCACGCAAAGAGTCAAAACGGCAGAATAGAGGTTTAGTATGGTAGCTTGTCAGTAAAAATGGATTGCCTTGTTTTAAATTATCTCCTTTATTCGCTATGAATTGTTCAGTCCTTGGGTGTATATGAAACGTGTTTGGATGGCTGGCGAACTAATGCAAGATATATGATATACGTTCAAGTCTGCAGTCCGCAAATTTTGCAGAGAACTGCAGTGTTCGTTGCAGTGTTTAAGGTCATAACTGGCATCCAAAAAGATTGCGCAGAAGGAAAAAAGTATTTGCGTCACTTTCGTATTGGACCGAGAAGAACAAAAGTACATGAATAAATACCAAAGCTTAACACTTTCTGTTAAAAATCGCATTAACTCATTTGACTGAAAATATGTGAAAATAAGCGTTCCAACGTTATATTCAGATTTTAAAATTCATTCAGACGGCGTTCACTGAACTTGACATTGCCACATTTTGAGAGTGATGAAACTTAGAAGTCAAATCTCTTTGGAAAGGTGACGTTGGGTAAAATTGTCTACCATCCCTTGAGGTGTTTGCGTGGAGTGATAAAAAACTTTGGGAATGTAAAACAACCTTATATTTGGCACACAGCTGTAAACTACATCTGATGTATGAACAAGCCAAGATTGTTGGATGCAAGTGACTGGAGTCACTGGAGCTCTCGTGTTAGAAAGCGCGTTGTGCCCTTGCTCAGTGGATGCATAGGTAGACGTTAAGGACTAGGCCGTATGATACGCGGCAGCTTATTTCGCACTTTTGTGTGGTGCGAATATAGGTAAGATGCTTTGCTTTTCTTTGCACTGCCATGACCATCCTTTCATCATGATAAGGCATTGGTGGTGTGTTGTGCTGTGTGCTTGCATGCAGTGAAGCATGAGCCAGTTCTGGACGTTTTGCCCAGCTAGGTACATCTCATTCCGTTCACATTTTCTATGGACAAAAATCACTTTACGTTTCACTGTCATTCACATTTATGGTTTAGATCTGGCTTGGGGCCATAGATAGGTAGGTTACAGAGGTTCAGGCTTAGATGTTGAATTGGTGACTCAAACATAATGATTCACACATAATTCAGGTCTAGGAGGAGCAGGATGTAGTCATCGGTGGCCAGGTTCTGTTGGGCCTTGTGATGGTTCAAGTGAGCTAGCTGCTTCATGTGTTCATGTCATGTAATGAGCTTTCTTGCTTGATGGCCTCAAGTGAGCTCAGACTTGGATGACATCAGAGGAGAGTCTAAAAGGAAAACTTGGGCTAAGTATGCATGGCTAGACAATGTCAGGTGGGAGTGAAAAAATCACAAAATAAGGGAAAAGGAGTGAAAAGTTTTCGTCATAGGTTGTTGTTCTACACCCAAAGTCGGCAGTTTTAGGTCGCCGCACTCTCATGCCGTGATCATTGACGCATTGGCCGGAGCGGGCAGGGTGGAGAGAGTCACGAAGGTGCAGCCTCCGTTTGCAGGTGCTCACACCGCGCTGGTGTTCCAGCCTCTGTTTGCTGGTGCTCACGCCGCGCTGGTGTTCCAGCCGCGGGGCTGTATTCACCAGATGGCTCGCTCCGAATCCACCGATGCCGGCGCCGCGACGACTGGGTCCACCTACTGCCACGTAAGTCCCCCGGGTAGCCAGATTCACGGCTACGACCGGGTCCACCCACTGCCACGTAAGTCCCCCGGGTAGCCGGATTCAGGGCTACGACCGGGTCCACCTACTGCCACGTGAGTCCCTCGGGTAGCCTGATCCACCTGCTGCCACGTAAGTCCCTCGGGGAGCCGGATTCACGGCCTGGCTAAATCCGTGGCCACCCATGTGGAATGGGGGTCGGGTGAGGTTAGGCATGTATTTCGAGAAAACTGCGGGCAGGGCATCAGTGGAAATTGGTTGAGCTGCGTATCTGGAAAACCGGAAACGGGGAAAAAACTGGAAAAAACTGGAAAAAACTGGAAAAAACGGGGTTCGATTCCACACAGATCTGCCCTTTCTGCCAAGGTGGGAAGCGGGTGGCACTATACAGCCTCAGCAGCTGAGTGCGTTGTGAAGCCCGGGTGTCAACGGCGACTGCCGTGAGTGCGGGGAGTAAGACGCTGATGGAGTAGCTTAAGTAGTTTGAGTTGCAATGCTCTTGCAATCAAAAGCGCAAAAGAGTACGTTTGGGTGTAAACATCTAGAAACCGCTATAATTTAGAACTATAGTCCTGGAAAAATACAAACAGGTGGTAACGCGCACAAATGAATGAGAATGGGTAGCGAATGCGTATTGACATAGCCCCATGGGTAGCGAATGGGTATCGGCATAGCCCCGTGGGTAGCGGATGGGTATCGGCATAGCCCTATTGGTAGCGGATGGATTGTGGAAAGCAAATTTTACCCGTAATGATGTTTAGTTTTCGGCTCCCGGAACAAGGCTGTACTCTAGGGTACATGCGCGTTTTTTTGTGGAGGTGTCCCTCAGGGACCTGAAGATTGCCATAGCTACCAGATTAAATGGAGTTTTGATGTCATTGTACGCTGTGTTTTTTTTAAATGAAGCAATCTAAAACTTCACGCACTGGTTTTACACACTTCACCGTTGGACCTCGATGGGCGTGTGTTTGTCACGTGCGCTCTGAATATTTCATGGGAGACGAAGGTCGCCGCTTTTCCGCACAACGCACATGTCGAACGCGGCTGGAGAAGCGAAGACGCCATACAATACAGGTGGTGAAATGTTCTCGTCATTTTTGTTGACTGCTGAATTTACCTGTTTACGCAGATCGGCGTCTACAAGGGTACCATCGTGGCGGTCAAATACATCAACAAGAGGAGTGTCGACCTGACCAGGAATATAAGAAAGGAGCTGAAGCTGGTAAGTTTGGCGGCCCCAACGCCACTAGTGCAAGTCCTGTGACAAAAGCCGAACCAATAGGCAAGGGGTGGATATACCTGCTGTTGCCTTTTTCTAATGCATGTATTTTTTAAAGCGAGTGTTCCACATTCGTATAAGGTTTTGAACTGAAACAGCAATCTTGAAGATCATTTGTTGCAGTTCACAGCCCTGCCTTTCTAAACACTCAAACTCCTCCAGTTTCTGAACTACACACCTGCGAAAATGTGGAGGTTATTTCAAGGTCATGCAGGCATACATGACGCCTTAATAACGTCATTTAAATCCTGCCACTTCGTTGGCCATGCGGCGATCGAAGCTAGTACAAATATAATTTTCGAGTCGTTTATATCTGGTATTTGTTAGCACAATTTCCAGATATGAAGGCCGTCAATTGCCTCGTAATCACTGTTGTGCTTGGTATGATGACGTGAACAAACAATAGCGTATTGAGAAGCATATTTACTCCATAGATAAATTGTGGTACTAATGCTGCCTTTTCTATGTAAGGGCTTACCAATCGTTATAAGTGAGCTTAATTGTAATCGTACCCGACGCTTGCTTCAAAATATTCGAATGTGAACCATTCCCTTTATTTGTCCTGAGCCAACAGATAAATCATTTTGTGCTTGCCTATCCTTGCCTTGCCGTGATTTTACAGCACTGCAACCCTTTCATAGTCCCACGATTTACTCCTCGGAACTGACAAATCCCGTGAGAAAAATATGATGGACTATTGCTTGACGCTACAGAGACGAGTGGTTACCTATGGAAATGTTTCCAGCGCAAAGCTACAATATTGTAAATTATTATGCTAAAATAACCAACCCTCAATAAAGGAAATGTTACTGGCGTACAAATGCATCAAACCCTCAGTGTTATGCATGATGAAAATGTTGTCATGATATGCAGGATTACTTTCAAAACTGACTCCATTGATGGCTTGAAATCTTCGTCTGGCCATCCTCTTCTTGTGTATGGAAGGTCCGCCATTTTCAGCCCAATAACCCAATTTCCAAAAACGTATTTGCCGAGGTGTTTTTGTTTTGTGCAAAATCAAAAATTGTATTTACCTGCCGCTGAGCATGAGGTGCGCGGAAGCTCAAGCAACATAAGCATAAGCTATACTTTATGCATAGTTGTGAATAATGCTATGCCATACACCGTTATAACATTAGGATCTAGGGAAGCATTTGGAGCCTGGCCATATATGTGGAAGCAGTAGAAGCGGATCAACGGCACTGTAGTAGTTAAGCTGTGTGTCTTGAAGACCAGTAGCAGAAGGCAACGCCATCTAGTCTCAGTAGCAGAATGTGTCGTGAAGTCCCAATAACGACGAGAAGCGAATAAGCAGGGGTCAGAGAAAAAATTTCTACTGACAGGCCACAAGTGACTGGATGGCATGAATGTTTGGAGGTTAGCGTTTTTCTCTTATCCGGGAGAGCAGTTCCTGGTCAGGCAGCTGAGGTACTTATCGTGCGAAGATGTACTTGCTCTTCTCTCACTGGCGTGTCGTATTCCATTAAACTTTCGAACTAAGTTGATTCGTCTCAGGAAACTTGGGTTCGATTATGGTTATTTTGAAATTCATATCAGGTGTTGTAATCTGGTAGGTATCACTAGCTCTGCCTCTCAAACGAAAGCAGCGTTACAAACAGCTTATTTGCATCTGGATGGCTCGTTGTACGTGTAACTGCAGCGCTCGTTCTAGAAGAAGGCCTCCTCTCGCCTCTTGCATCTACCTCTTACCCTTACACCAGAGCTTTTGAGAACGACTCTCTGGACTGATTCACGACGGGTTTTGTCATAGTGACAACATCGGTATTGGATAGTGGCAGGAGAGCGTTTCTTGTTGCCTGAATCCCGCCCAGGTATTGAAGCGGCATAGCTGCCTTCCGCTAGACTTGATCCGATCGGTCCAGCCGGCCACCAGCGGTGCCCAGCTCGCCGACAGCTAATCATAGGCTGGACGGTCGCTAAACCAACTGAAAACTGGGCGGCGTGCAGTCAGCTGTGGTGTGTGCTGTTCCTGCTTATGACACTTGACGTCATCAGTGCGGAGCGGGTAGCGAAGCCCACTCAGCCGCTATGCTTTGCGCTCTACTCGGCTCGAAGCAAGTTTATCAGCACCTCCTTGTAATGGCCATTCGGTGGTTCCTAAAGCCTGGTCTCGAATCAGGCTTACTCACGTGCTAAGTTTTGTGTTTTGAGCGTTTCAGACCAAGCCAGTTTAAGTTTCTTTTTGCGGTCACTTGGGGCTTACCAGGTAATCTTCTGTTGCCGTCGCTCTGCTGGAGGGAAAATTGCTTCGCACGAACGACGGGATCATTTGCCCTTCCTGTTGAATGTGTGTTACTGACCTGTCACTGGCTCTCGATGACAGTGATACAATGTGCTATTCTGTTATATAGTGTGCTATGATTATCTTGGACCGGTAATCACTTGTCTTGTGCTGTTGGCATGGTTCCTCTCGCTTTTATTTCCTTTGTTCTCCAGAAGACTTTCAACATCCGTGAAATGCAAGCTGGGGCGAATGATTTGATTTATATTATAAAGACGACTGTGCGTATGAAGATGCTTTGACAAATGTGGTACAAAGTAGAGTTGCCTAAATGCCCTCTGTTTGAGTGCGTTCTGTGCTGTGTAGCACGTTGCGCGCTGACGTCCGGCGGAGATGACGTCACATCGCTTTATCACTCGATTCGCGTGACTCCACGACACATTTCAGGACGATGTGCTGTTGTAATTTTTGCGCGATTTTACCGTTGTTCTTAATTATCGAACACCGCTCGCATGCAACCCGGATGCCATCAGTGGATGCTTGAATACATTCAATACGGTTTCTGACCGATTAGGCTAAAACAAAGGTTATTTTACTTCAAACAAAGGTTATTTTGAAAGTGGCTTCCAGTTTAAGCTGCCCTATTTTGCAGATGGTGTTTATTGGTGGTACGCCTTTGTGTGAATTGCAATACTTTCCGACACAAGCCCCACTGAACAAGGCGTCATTTTGAACTGCACGTTCGCACCTTATGTGGAAACCATCGCGACGCGATCTTGTTTCGTGCTCCTTGCTAATCACTTTTATCTTCACACATTGTGCCGTACACATGTTTGGCAATCCAGCGTACCCTCACTTGCAATACCAGAGATAGATATGCAAATATGAGATAGAATCGTTTTTGAGCTTGGGTGGGGAGTGAAAAATTTGACCGCAAAGATATTATACAGGAGTGAAAAATTTAGTTCACAGAAGTTGTTAGCTATGAGCCAGTGGGCCAACAAAGGCATTATGCAAGCAATTTCTCAGTAGTGCGGTTAGCACCAAAAACTTCGTAATGCTGTTCTTTGGAAGCCATTCTTTGCACGTCCCTTACACAGGAATCTTTAGTTCAAAATACGCCTCTGAGTCATATTAGGTTCTTTTCATTTTGCAGCGTCACACATCCATCCAAGACTTCCCCACTGAACCATTTCGGTTCCGGCCGAAGAAAACCCCGCGATGCATCCAATACCATTGAAGATCCTGACATTCCGGGCGCAGATTGAGCAAAGCCAGTGACCTGTTTCAGGTAACTGCATCGAAATATGAGTTCAGAGTCTCGCAATTACACCTGACCGGATGTCGAATTTATTTTGCTGTTGAGCATAAACAGGTCACCCGTGCAATGGTTCCGCGTCACATAGGATGAGTGGAGCCGAGCACTCCTGGAGGGCCAGCCTCATCGTACATGCACGTCCGCCACAGCCATCTTTCAGTGACCTGTGCCAAAATGCCGGCCTGTGTGGAATATGCAAAAAGGGCAGTCCAGCATCCAGTCAAGACTTTCGATACTCTCTGGTAAAAAACCGCGATGTTCATCAAAGCATTCAATGCTGGTGATTCGTGTATTCCTTTTAAGCGCACGCTTGAGGTACTTCAGTCAGCGTGTAGGCCAGGTGACAAGTGGTTGCTGTACCGTACGGTGGTATGGTATACTCTCATTTATGAAACGATACGTGCGGGATGGGCCAGCAGGCGTATTGTGAGAACATATGCATGTAAAGTTTGTCATATTTTGACATTATAGTTACATGCTGATGAAACGTTAGCGCGTTGGAAAATGTGCTGAATGATTTTGATGAATGGGAACGAATGGGAACGGGAATGGGAATGGAACGTTTTGATGAATGGGAACGGAATGGTCTGCTTGCTCACGCTCAATACTCTCTGATGCGTTGTGTTCTATCGGATAAAGCGTCAAAACTTGGCCATTGTTTCTCAACTAATTCACACCTTCTCTCCTCTCTCCTCTCT